TTTTAGGAAAAAAAGTTATATGAAGTACTGGTGATATTTTGACCCTATCTATACATTCCCGAGAGGAAAAGAGGGAGTCCAGGGACACCCTGTATATCACCTTATATTTATTAACAAAGATCAACAAGGCACGTCGGTCATTTCAAGAAAAAATTGAAATTGTTTCAATTATGATGTATTTTCGTAAAGCGGCCGCTGAATTCAATCTAGTGGTATTAGCTGTACGCGTACACCCTGGAACTTATCGAGTTCCAGGGTGTACGTGTACTTTCTGATCATTCCTATTTTAAAAACCACCTACCGGTAGACAGCTGTTCAGCCTATTGAACATCGTCAGTACCGGGCAGGCGCTCCTCGTTTGAAGACAAAATGTGAAAAAACCAAGAAAAGTACTCGTAAAAATAACTGCCTAACTGATGTCGAATGCTCATTTGTCGATTCAGTTGTCCAAAGAAAATATGACCACATACCATCGTAACTACGCCACTGGTTTACAAAAATTGAAAATTATAACTTCAAATTATCACGTTGATAAACCTTGATTAGTGCCTAGATTAGATTAGTTCGAATTTTTTCTCCGGGAGTTTTAGAGAAAAAATAAATCTGCATGCATTTTAGGACATACCTTGATAGAAACTATTCATCTCAAAATGAGATAAGGAATATGTAGTCGGAGTTTGTCGCTCTCATTCTGACTCACGCTGTATAATCTTTTTGTGAGTATCCCCCAAGTAACAAAGGCCAGAGAATCAGTTTGAGCCGCAGTAAAATATGAAGGTGTTTGAAAATGTATAAAATGCATGTTTTCCAACTCAGATTTCCACATACATTGCACGAAGGAGATGAAATACGCCATATGGAGTATTGTTTATAAATGAAGGGAAATTATCCCAATGGCAGGAAGTTTTCAAATAATATCTCATACAGGGCGAGTCAACAAGATTCCCTCGGTCCATTGCTATCAGGAAAAACAATTTTTCGAATTACTCATTTTTTTTCGCAGTCATATCGATAAATACTATCCAAAGTTTCCAACCAAAGTTTTTCTTTTTTAAATGGAACACCCATACGTCATTCGATTCCATATTTTTTCAGCTCTCTGAGAAATGCTTGAGGATTTTTTCAGGAAAAATTATTAGTCAACATCAATATGATAATTTCAGAAATCTCAACTTTCGGGAATAATATATAGGATGCTCGGTAAAACCGAGCATCCTACATATNTCACAAATTCCTTAGAGATCTAAAACTGAATGTTCTATTTGAAAAAATACAACTTTGGTTGACATCACTCGGCTGAATCACCCAGTATGAGAGAAAATAATTTTGAAAGATAGTATTTATCGATATGACTTCAGAAAAAATTGAGCAGTTTGGAAATGTTTTTTCCTTTGATAGCAATGAACCGAGGGAATATTGTTGACTTATCCTGTACAGTAATTATACTACCTTTACCAAGAATAGTGTTTGAAGGTGGTTGACAATGTTTCATGATGCATTTCATGTACCAAGAATAGTGTTGTATCTTCCTAGAACATGAGATTTTGTAGTGAACAAAATCCAAATTGGGTGGTGAATTTTAGAAACCAAATATCTCAGAAAGTTAATATGTGGTGTAATATTCTCAACAATAATCATAGAACATTTTTTTCTTTTTCGAAAAAAATATAAACTGACCACTTTTCGTATGATTTCTTCGAAAGTTAATTTTCCGATGTTTTGGAAGAACTATCTATAGATGTGAGAAATAACCTGAGTTTTCAGTTGGATGATTCACTATAGGTGATAGTTGCATATCAAGGGTTTGGTTGAATAGGAATCTACGTATGAAATGGAGAGGATGCAATATTTCTCTAGTAGTATGACCACCACGGCCAGATCTATGGCCAGATCTTACTCCCCCATGAACTGTTCATGGGGGACGTTGGAAAATAAGGTTCATAAATATAGGTTAACCAATGGGATATCAGATCTCCGTGCAAGAATTATACAAGCGTGCAGAGAAATCACACCTAGAGAACTAAGAAGGGTTGAAGGAAATAATAAAAAAAATAAATAAAAATTTTCTCGCTTGGAGGAGAATTCGATGGAAGGCACAAAAATTCAAAATCATTAACATTGAAATCAATGGAAATTGATTGTTTTTTTTCATTGAAAACGTGATTTTGAAAGTACCTAATATTTGGAAATAGTTTTAAACTACAAGAATTTTTTGACACGAAAAACAGTTGGCTCTTTGAAAATAATGGGAAGATGAGAATCTGAATGAACAGTAACTGAAACTTCAATGATATCACGTTTCCATTCCACTTACAAAATAAACATTTCTTCTCTCATTGACTTTGAGAAAAGGTATAACTTTCCTGATACCAAAATAACATAATTATTTATTTATGTTGAACTAAAAGCCAAATCACTCATAAACAATTTATTTTTCGTGCAAAATTTTGATCGAGTTCATACTATGATGGTGCCAAAAGCGAAAAGATATCTACTCAAGCTTATGTTGTCCCATAGTACGATTTTTCGCAAAACTGTTTGACTTCCTACGCCTCTGGTGAGCAGTGTATGTCACTCATATCAACCATAGACGAGATTTAGACTCGTCGCCAGTATATCTAGGTACCGATCCTAAAATTTAGCAAAGCATGATTTTTCTGAAGAGTCCACCTCTCACATTTCCTTACCTGTTCTTTCGATCTAAAATATTTTCAGCATTGCGGCTTTGCCACTTCTATCAAAAAGTCCTAGCAATTATATTTTTTTAAATGGAACACCCCGTATATTAATACATTTTTGGAATCGCTCTAGTATTTTAATACTTTTTTGTTAATAATGTCCTATACCTATCTCTATCTGTTTTCGAGATAGAAAATAAATTGTGCTAAATATGGTCCAAAACATAGCCTTAATTGAAATTAAGTACAT